TTTTTTAGTTTTGTGCAAATCCTACCTACGGAAGCAACGGCGTAAATTTTTTTTTTTTTTTTGGTGTTTTTAGCACGATTATCTTAATTGCAAATATCTAACTACCTAACCCCCCCCCCCTCGCTGGGCTATTTACATCCCGACCCCCGGGAGATGCTGTGAGCGGCCGCGAGTCCTCGTTACCACTGGAAGTTCGTCTGGGGAAGAGGGGCTGGGCAGGTCGGGTGGTGACGAGCCCTTAGCTGGGCATCTGCACCTCGTTGTACACATCCGTGCCCTCCGCCTCTTCGAAGGTCACCACCGCGTCGTCCGCGTCCAGCTGGAGGGACAGGAGAGGGGGTTAGGTGGGAGGGGGGACAGGGACAAGGACAGGGATGGAGATGGGGACAGGGACACAGAGAGGGACAAGGGTGAGGATGGGGATGGAGATGAGGATGTGGCTGGAGATGATGGGGATGGGGATGAGACGGGGATGGGGATGGAGGGGAGGATGGGGACAGGGATGGGGATGGGGATGGGGACAGGGATGGAGATGAGGATGCGGCTGGAGATGATGGAGATGGGACAGGGATGGGGATGGAGATGGGGACAGGGATGGAGATGAGGATGCGGCTGGAGATGATGGAGATGGGACAGGGATGGGGATGGAGATGGGGACAGGGATGGAGATGAGGATGCGGCTGGAGATGATGGAGATGGGACAGGGATGGGGATGGAGATGGGGACAGGGATGGAGATGAGGATGCGGCTGGAGATGATGGAGATGGGACAGGGATGGGGATGGAGATGGGGACAGGGATGGAGATGAGGATGCGGCTGGAGATGATGGAGATGGGACAGGGATGGGGATGGAGATGGGGACAGGGATGGAGATGAGGATGCGGCTGGAGATGATGGAGATGGGACAGGGATGGGGATGGAGATGGGGACAGGGATGGAGATGAGGATGCGGCTGGAGATGATGGAGATGGGACAGGGATGGGGATGGAGATGGGGACAGGGATGGAGATGAGGATGCGGCTGGAGATGATGGAGATGGGACAGGGATGGGGATGGAGATGGGGACAGGGATGGAGATGAGGGTGGGGATGAGGAGGAACCAAGAATGGGGACAGGATTGAGGACAGGGATGGTGACAAGGATGGAGACAGGGATGGGGGCTGGGATGAGTATGGGAATAAGGGCAGGGATGAGATTGGGAACAAGAATGGGAACAAGGATGGGGACAAGGATGGGGACAGGGACAGGGATGGTAAAAAGGATGGGGACAGGGATGGAGATGAGGATTGGGACCTGGAGGGGAAGAGGGATGGGGACAGGGATGGGAACAAGGATGGGGACGGGGATGGGGCTGGGATGGCTATGGAATAGGGGCAGGGAGGAGGCTGGGGACAGGGATGGGGATGGACAGAGGGATGAGCAGAGGGACAGGGACAGTACCACGGTGGCTTCCATCCCATGCCAGGGCTACGTACGCATTTGAGCTCAATGTCCCTGAAGATCCTGGGCAGCAGGAAGCGCCGCAGGGGCACGGTGAGGATGAGGACGAAGGGCAGCGCCAGCGAGGCCGGGGTGGACTTCACCACCCACAGCAGCGCGAGTACAATGATCTGGATGAAGGTGAACAGGTGCATCCTCCAAGTCTTCACCTGTGGGATGAGGAACCCAGAGGGGTCAAGGTTGTGGGTCCAGCACCGCGCACCCTTCCCGGGGTGCTGGGTGCTGGGGGGTGGCAGTACCAGTGGCCCAAAGAGCCCAACGAAGGTCAGCAATGAAGGAGGATGCTCTTTGGGGAGCCCCAAGCAGGCAGCACCATGGGGATGCCACAGCCCAGGACTCTCCCAAGCCCTCGGCCACCCAGCTGGGTGACACAGGGCTCACTCACCCGGGTGACGTAGGGCTCGTCGGGGTGGTATTTGGGTGGCATCAGCAAGAGCAGGATGCGGTCGAAGAGCTGGATGCCAAAGAGGGAGGTGACACCCATGTAGAGGAAGATGCCAAAGAGCACGGCCAACGGGATGTACTTCAGGATGGGCTCCATGAGGATGGAGACGCCTGCGGTGGAGAAGGAGAGGTCAGGGAGAGGAGTTGGGGGGCACCCAGCCCTCGCTGCTGGGGGTGGGGGGGCACCTCCCCAGCTCACCGATGAGCACGGCCACCAACAAGCCGCTGATGCGCTGTTCCTTGACCTCCAAGATCTGGGACTTCTCGCCAGGAGAGGAGGTCTTGGTCATGACGGTGAGGGCGTTGGCGTGGGTGATGGTGCGGACGGTGGTGGCGCTGAGCCAGGGCATGCCGAAGAGGGCAGCCAGGCCCCCCATGGCCACGATCAGCAGCAGGTCCAGGTGGAAGCCAGAGCCCTTCACCAGCTTCCTCTCGGGCTTGCTGACGATGAGACTGCCAGGGACAGAGCAGGGGGAGTTGGTGGTGGGACGTCTCCTTCCATCCCTGTCCCACCAGGCACCCCTCAACCCTCCCCTCCCACCCTATTATCCCCCCCAGGGTCCTCACGTTGTAATCTGCGTCTCGAGGAAGATGAGGATGAAGACCAGGAGGGCAGGCACCACAGAGGCGAACATCATCCAGATGGGGAAAGAGTTGTCCTTCCCCATGGGGTTGATAAACCAGCCCCGGGCAGATGAGTTGGTGACCTCCAGCCCTTTGGGGACGTTCAGTTTCTGGATGGGAGCAGAGATGAGGGGGTGAGGGGATGGGGACAAGCACCTAGGTCCATGTCCCCTTGTTGGGGGGGACACCCATTCCCATGCCCAGCCCTGCCCTCCTGCTGCTCCCGAACCTGCGTGTAGGTGTCCTGGATGAAGAAGTCAACCAGCGCCATGATGAAGATGGAAATGGGCACCCCGAAGTCCCCAATCAAGCGCCGGGCCTGTGGGGACACCATGACCACATTAAACACAACCCACCCACTCAAGGGGGTCCCCCCCCACCATGTCCCTGCCAGCAGCAAGCTCTAGCAAAGACCTCTGAAGGTCCATGCAAGGTCCATGCCCCTTCTGGGAAACTACACCCACCAAGCCCGGGGTTCACCCCCAGTGCTGCCCCCCAGGTCCAGTGGGGTGGGGGGGATGCCACTGTGCCCCCCCCCCAGTTCCTCACCACGCCAGGCAGGAAAGCGCTGTTCTTGAACTTGCGGAGGAAGAAGGCCAGGAAGAAGGTGCCGGCCATGAGGACGAGGGACAGCAGCGCCGTGTTGGGCTCCGGCACCTTGGGCTCAAAGGTGTCCTTCACGTTGTAATGTCGCTTCAGTGGGTGATCCTTGAAGATCTGGGGAGGGAAGGGGAGGAGGTCAGGGAGGATGGGACCACCCCCTGCACCCCTCCTGCCACGCTGGACCCCCATGGCACCATCCCGGCCAGTCCATGGGTGCAGGGTGACCGGTGAGGCTGGAGCTCGGCACACGGGGAGCAGGGGGGTATTTTGAGGCTTGTTTTTCTCCATGTTCCTTCAGAAATGGGGCCAGAGGAGGGACAGGGGGACACAGTGGGGACAGGTGAGTGTGGCCCCGCTGTGGACCATGGGTCACCCAGGGTGTTTGGAGCTGTGCTGAGCTTGTAGAGGGGTGCAACGGGGGCACCTCGGTGTGATGGGGGTCCAGGGTGTGATGGGGCACGTGTCCTGCCTGTCACCTCTCCAGCACCACAGATGTCCCTGTGGGCAACC